TGAAAATTAATATATGATAAAAATATATTTTGGGAATGTAGTACAAAAATGTTATGTATACCTAAGAATTTTTGGAATGTCGCAAGAAAAAACCCTATGACGCTATTGTTTGGAAAATTAAGCCCAGAGTATTTAATCCAGAAATTGTAAAAAAAACATTCATTAAACAGAAAACAAATAATGTACAATCTTTAAAGACGAGTAGTAGGATAAAATGTATTACGTAAATTATTTTTTGGAATAAATANCATTAAACAGAAAACAAATAATGTACAATCTTTAAAGACGAGTAGTAGGATAAAATGTATTACGTAAATTATTTTTTGGAATAAATAAAAATAATTTTTAGTAAAATTCTTAACTTCAATTTCGTTTGCCTTACTATTGTTAATTAAATTTATAATTACAAATAAACTAATTTTGGTAGTCGAAACAGTTATATAAATCTACATATTCATATTTTACTATCTGTCATACAGTACTATTATAACGTTAAATTGCTTTTAGATAAGAAATTTGTTTTACAATTTATTAATGATTATCCTATTATAGAGATCTAATAACTAAAACAAAACCTGTAAAACTACAATTTATAATAGTTTAAAAGTTATAAGTTCATGTTTATTGTTTTTAGCAGGTTCAATCAGATATTTAAGACTACTGTACATTTATGGTACTAATTATTGTAATCCAAATTTTTAAACTACGTCGAAACCGTAAATTTAAATTCATATGTTCTTTACAATTTATGATTTTCTGATAATTCATTATATTTCAATGGTATTAAATATCATATCAATTCAGAGTAAAATATTTGATATTTATTAAATTAAAACTAGGTTTTTTATAAAGTTATAAGTTTTATATAACTTTTAAAATTGAATATGTTAAATTTTGTATGCCATGTTATAAAACTGTTATATTGAATAGGATTGAACAATGTTATAAAGTACATGCATATTTAATTAATAACATTTGTCAATGAATAGATATACGATTCAAATTGTATTGAGATTAGCTATGGGTACTTTTTTATTAACAAAACATCTTCGATGGTGATAACAATGAAAGTCATTTTAATTCAATATCGACACACGTTTTCACGATATGTTTCAAAATATTAGCTATTGTTGTACGCTATTGTCGAAGATCAAGGTGCGCAGTTTGCTTTAAATTTAATGTTTGCTTAAATTAAAGATTGTTTATATCTCTGAACTAGTGAGTTACTACTGTATAGTATACTGTCTACAATTATTAATCTTTAGTCAAACGTTTGCTTGTGTACATCTATGGAAAAGCTTATACCACATTGTCTTTTATTTCATTGTTATATTGTCATCTCAGGTCTTTCAGCGGCCGTATAATTTAATTCTCTACGTGGTTAGTCTTCCAAATGTATGATAGTATCGTCATTAACTTAAACATTGTTTCATGTACTTGCCTTACAAAGTTTGTTACTTTGTATTACACAATCATTACTCAGATAAGTCTGCTTGGTATTTACCCAATGAGAATTAAATAAATATTTATGAGATATTTTCTGTTCTAACATATACATAGAATTCAATTTTTAATATATTGCATTAATCAACTATTTTGGTGATTTATCCAAGAAAAACATAAAAGTAAAAGAGGTAAATTATATGCTTTGTTTTGTATCTCTTACTTAATTTAGGTACGCAAAAAAAAGTTACTTAGAATAATAGATTATAATTAACACTTTGTATTGATTGAGCTAAAATAAATAAAGAAGTTAGTTTACCTGTTAATTGTTATCATTGAAATAAATAGCAATGACACGCCGACATTTCCGTATTGGAAAAAAGGCACCATAGAACATAATGGTGCATACTGTGTCCAATTGAAGTTCAAAAATCTCGATGCACTAAACGGTAAAACTGCGATACAAAATAACAAGTCTGCAGCCCCTAAGCTTCAAATAAACGTTTAAAATGAAATTGAATTGAGTAAAATACAAACTAATCTGTTAATTATTAAAAAGCTAAAATTAGTACCATATAATAAACGTTGATGCCACGTTTCGAATTCGAGGACTTCTAATTAAAGCTAAAATTGTTAAGCTGTTGCCAATAATCCCGACACACATAATAAGTACTGTCAATAATGCAGCTATAAGCATAACTTTTTGATTTTTCTTTGCCCATCTATAAAAACAAAATATTTGTGTTATTTTATTAAATTTTCCAGTTCAACCAACTTACAGTTCAAATCCGAGTTCCTCATCAGAGTATAAATTTGTCATTAATG